TGTCTGAGGACAATTCTAGAGCAGGGGCACCTTTTAATTATCTAACAGAATCTCTAAAATCGCTGTCAAGTCATAACACTGGCCCCGAGAGGATTAAACTCTCCCTCGTAACAGACCCCTCCTTTACAAACTCTCCATCGTTACATTAAAGGTGTCTGCTTAACGTGGCTTTTCCAAAACATCTCTTATAAGCACAGACTTTCATCAAAACAAAATAAACAAATAAATGACATTAAAAAATAGCGCCGGGCTAACACACACACGCATACACACACACACACACACACACACTCAGAGCAAAAGAGGTCAAATCTGACTCAGCGCTCCTCGGCGTGCGAGGCTCTGGGTTCGATGCACATTTTCATGGCCGGGCACGCTTTTCCACTAAGAACTCAAGGTGCCTCGTGACCGGGGCTGGCCGTGGACATTTACCTGCAGCCATCATCTGAGGAAGCTGCTGGGGACAGCGGGCGATGCTTTCAATGCCACCTGCATCTACGATTGAATCACGAGCATCCTGGGGGCCAGGAGCGCTTTGCAGGCTGAGTGCAGGGTCCCCACGGAGAAGATCATCGGGTTCTGCAAAAGGGGAAAGGAATATGGTGAAACTGGCGTCATAACCGAGGGAGCCTTCCCTTCGTGGGAAAAGCCCTGTCCATGCACACCGCACGCAATGGAGGAAACCGCCCGGTCCGAGGCAGGGCGGCTGAGCTGCTGCCTATGCTCAGCGGCTGTCCCTTGGCATGGCTTCAGGGCCTTGGGAGACGGGTGGGTCACCTCTCAACCCACCGAGGGCCAGGGCCGGCTGCATAAAGAGCCCTTTGCCAGAGCAGCCGGGGCCCGCCCTTTGACTGAAGAGACTTCGCAGCCGGGCTTATCAGGCCCCACACAGCCTCTGCCACGCACCGGACATCAATGAGCGGGCAGGTGCGGGGCCGAGGGCGATTTTTTCTTAAGTTAAAGACTTAATCGATGTTGTTATTTTGGAAGACAGTCATCTGTGAAATGTATTCAGACAGGGGAAAAAAAGCAGGGAAGAGGAAGAAAAAAGCAAGAATCTCTTCACCGTGAGGCCGGGAAAGGAGCGAACCCCAATCACAATATTCGGGGAAGGCAAAGGGAAGAACAGTTTGCTGGACGGTGCACGGGGCACAAAGGAAAAGCGTTTGTTTTGTGCATGTCTTTTAGTTCTATGGAGAGATGAATGCAACTGGCCACAGCTTCCTCTAGAATTGCAGACACATAAGTATATATGTATTGGACATTTCAAAGCATATTTCGAACAAAAAACCGATAACAATAAAACATTAAATACTGTTGCAGAGGGCCCCTCCACATCACGTTATTTATAAAATGCTATGCCTTCTCGTCATCCTTAAAGATGCAAAAACATACCATTCATACATGCACATTTTAGGTGCATTCTCGCCAGTTCAAAACCAGAAGGTGAAACAGACCACGTTTCGATGGGTGAGCTGGGAAGACTGACTTTACATCTGATCGAAGAATTGAATTTGAATATTTAGTTCTACCTCGGTCTATATTTGGAAATTTTCCTAAACCATGTGTCTGATAATGGATATTTTAGAATTAGATGCTATGGTCTGTTTGTCAGTGCACCTCAGTGTAAAGTTTGGCCCTTTTACGGGGTACTCCTTTATTTCTTTGACTCTTAGGTGCAAGCATCAGTCACCCTTTCAACAATGTGCTGTCAATCAAAAATTTACTGCCAGTTAGGTATAAGTTTAATGCAAAGGGAAGTTCAGGTTCGATATCTCAAGGACGGGACGGGGAATGAGCAAACTGTTTCCATGATGTCCACAGACCTCTAGCCCTCAACTAGAGGGGCCTGTGAGATCGTGGGGAATTTTTCCCCATAGTCTGTCAGGAAGACGAGACATCTTCATCATGCACTGCTGAATGACTCCAACTTTGGGAGCAAACTGGACTCAGGACAAATATTGTATACCTTGCAATTAAACCCTACTTCCCAAATGAATTCAGAACTTGCTTCTGTGTTGTGCATCAATTATCTCGGGGAATGGATGCTATCAGATGAAGCGATCCTCACCATGTAAAACAGACTCCCTAACGTTAATATGTGGCTAACCTTTAGCTACCCACACACCAGCAATATTTCTGCGACGAAACCTCCGAGTACTTCTTTCCTCTCGACCTCCAAGCATTTCAAAACGCCAAAGCAGAGGCAAGCTAGACAGCGTTCCCTCTTTTGCTCAAATGGCCCTGTAGTAGGGCCCCCCCAGATCATCGCGAGGTCACTATTGATCTCACTTATCTCCCCAAATGAGGTTTAGCTGGCTGGCTTCCTTGTAGCTCAGGTTCTCCCTGCATGGGCAAGAATCACAATTTTTTTTTTTCTTTCTGTCCGATGAGTCTTGCAGTTCTGGAACATTCTATCAGAGAACGACTGGTGCTCCACCAGCCTCGTGTTACCTCGCCTTTTTGCTACAGTGTTGTAGGGATGGTGTCCCCCTCCTCGCTCTGCAACTGTCTGTTCCAATGGCAGTTTTCACCTTAGCGATTATGGTCTTCCAAAGGGACGTCGAGTGTCCCGGAGGCCCATAGCCTCTACTCACATTTGTCGCTCCCATCTTAACAAATTGCTACTGTTTCATAAAAAAATTAAAAAAAAAAAAAAACTTTTTTAAAGTATTGCTTTCGTGGCAAGACGTGGTTTGTAGTTCAGAATTGGTCCTCTAATGGGTCACTGACTTTTGATTTATTACACCTCTTCCTACTTCCGATCCAATGATTTGAATGACACACAACTTTATGTGGCTACCATGTACCTAGAATGGTGACTTTAACGTAAGTTCTGTCATGTTAGGTACTTCCAATAGTCTCAAGGATGCCACGCAATTCTTTAAGAAATTAAACTTGATTTTATCACTTGGATGGGAGGAAAGGTGATATTTTTAATTAATTACTTACTACCTGGTAATTTGTGAATAGACACAGGAACTAATTTTGTTCTCTGTTACCATCTATTGTTCCTATTGAATGCCTGCCTTTTCAAATAATTCAAGATCGTAATGCCTAATTTTATTATTCGAATCAATTTCTTTGCCTTAATTTTTTTTACTTCCAAACTATAGAAAGATTAATATTCTTAATGATATTTATTTATACGCAGAGATGTTGGTAGTTCAGAATGATGGCTGATAAAGCACTTGGAATATAGCAGGAGCTAATTGTTCTTATTTTATTTGGAAGTGTAGCGTTCCCACTACGGTATCCTGGGATCTTTGTGTTCCGCTGGATAATTATGTAATTAATTCTGAAACAGTGAATAACACTTGATATTTCTAAAAGTAACTCTTGCCCTACTTTTCCATGCCACACCTAAATTGTAGCAGAATATTTCTTCATCGTCCCCAACTCCCTTATAAAATCATATCATTTAAAAGATGTATGAATTTTTCTGTTTTTTTTTTTTTTTTCTGCCTATGCGACTGCAAAAGCTTTCAAGAAATTCATGCCCGATTGTGAGACTGGCAGTCTCCATTTCCAGCTCTGAGCGAGGTAAGATTATCATAAGCAATCAGATGTACAGAATGCCAAAGATAGCAGTACAGCTTTGTCCAGAGTTCATCTGGAATGTAACCTGTTCTTTGTTAAGGTATATGCAAGTATAAGACCTCACATCCAATTGTATAACTGTTCAACAAGCTACATTTATGCTCAGGGTTGCATTGAGCTATGTCGATGAAGCAAATAGCTTTTGAAACTCACCAAGCCTATAAAAACACTATTTGGCCTAAAAAATGGCAAAGGCTTCTCCCATTCTTAATAACACAACTCTTTCTAACTCTGCTCACCTTTAACAGGTTCCAAGGACACACACACATACTCAAGAACAAAACCCATCTGTAACTGTCCACAAAAGATAGATTCCTATTAAAGGGAAGTGGAGATTAAGCATTGAAAATTCTTTTTTTAAAAAGAATGATTTCGTTTGATGTAAGTCTTTAGGTTCATGCCTACTTCAGGAGAAAAATAATTATAGCGAGAAAATCAGATTTATTAATGCCTTGTCAAGAGCTGATTCCAAAGGAAACTTATTTCATACAATGTCTGAAACTTTCTGATTTTTATAAAAATTACTCATTAGCATTATCATGGTTTATAAGTCTAGCAAAAAGAAAAATGTACTCTAATTCAAAGTTCTACTTTCCTCTTCCATCATCAAGAAAACATCTCATTTTGGTTTTCATGTAATCCGTAGAATTCTTCCTTGAGGTTATCAAAATGTTCCATAGCTTAAAACAACATAGAATACTGTTAAATGGATGTTACTTATGTATAAACTCCATAATTATTATGCAATTATATATGAATAATAATGGGGACATTTCTGCTTCCTAGAATGGTAAACTGAGTAATTCAGACAATTCTCCCACTGAGGAATAAATAGTAAAGCTTAATGTCTTTCATTGGTTTTATAAAATTCTCACTATTATCTCTTCAAACACAAAAGGAGCCTAAAGGACATGCTCTAATTACTTACTAAGCAGACAGCTAAGGCAACTAAGGGCCCTGCTAAGTGCTGGGTCTTTTGTTTTTCTGACCTGGGAGATGAGAAGAATCTGCAAGTTTTGGGGCAGAGTGGAATTGCTCTGCAAAATATCACAGAAAAGGGCACCACGGATTAGTGCTTTGAGGGGAAAAAAAGAAGGGACTTTCGTGGGCCCCCCATGGGAAGGGAGACTTCAGAGAAGGTAAATGACTAAGGCAGATTTTCAGCTGGTTCATTGGAAAACACACAATGCAAACCTTTCCCCTGCCCCATCGACAGAAATGCCGGAGAAGTCTGCACTGGTCTTTAATCCTTAGATAGAGTAATTCTGGGGGGGCTTTAGACAAGGGAGCTTGAAGAGGGTAACGAGGAGGCAGCTGATCACGGAGACTCCCTAAAGTACAACGCCACACACCGCGTTTTCAAGGCTGTCAATAGAGTCTGTGCCACATTAGTGTTTTGATTGACAATGGAGTGCGTGGATGACAGTGGTGCCTTTATAGCCAGGCGTGTAGTGGGCTGTGGCATCTAGGCTTGTGTGATTTCACGCTACGCTGTGTGCGTAGTGACAGACTCGGCTGACGGCACGTTTCTCAGAGCATATCCCCATCGTTAAGAGGCACGTGACTACGTACTGGATGTTGGTGATTGATGATCAAAGTCTCCTGATTGACGGGGGGAGGGGACAAAAAAGAATGAAGGGTTTGAAAAAGAGGTCTGGATTAGGTTAGATTTTTATGCAGAATTAGATCTTACGGGAGATTTCCGAGGAGAGGACTGTAAAGCAGAAATATTCGATCAGATAAAGATAAAAAAAGATCTTTCTCAGTGATAGAGCGAAAAGTCACCTTGTGGAAAGGACGTGAGCAGAGGACGGAACTGGGCGAAGATCAGTGCAGTCAGGGCTGAACCCGACCCCGCTTGGTATCAACGCCATGAAGTCAGAGGTCTCCTTCAGGACCTGGCCTGTTCCGCAGACATTCGTAACATCGCTGAACTCTTTTCAAAAACGTCACAGATTGACACACATCACAGCACGGCG